GAATAAAATACTTAAGAATGAATGTGGGACACATAAATGTTAACACTACCACTCTGAAGCTAGAAGCACTGGAAAAAGTAAGAAGACTTCAAGAAATGGAAAGGACATCTCGTGTTCATGGCATCAGAAGGACCATTATTTTAAGATGGCGGTTACCCCCCAAATTGATCTATAGATTCAATATAATACCCTATCACGCAATTCTAAACTACTTTTTTTTTTTTTGCAGAATGACAAGTGAAGCTATCTGTTAGAATTCATAGTAGGTAGTCAAGGGGACCTGGGAATGTTACCATTCTTAAAAAGAGCTGTAGTTAGAGACTCCACACTCCTCAATTTCCAAAAACGTTACGTACCAAAGCTAGCGTACTCAAGACAGTAGTGGTGCCTGGCTGGATGATAGACAGACAGTCAATGGTATGGAATTCAGAGTGCAGACATTAAATTCCTGGCATTTGTCTTAGGTCCATTTGTGGCTCTAAGACAGAAGGTAACCTGAGTTGGTAATTCTATAAAGACAGAGAAGGCCGGGCGCGGTGGCTCAAGCCATTAATACCCAGCACTTGGTTGAGGCGTGGAGACCAGTGGATCACGAGGTAGGAGTCGAGACCATCCTGTGCTAACACGGTGAAACCCGTCCTGTACTAAAAAAATACCAAAAAAAAATTACCGGGTGTGGTGCGCGGAGCGCCTGTTAGTCCAGGCTACAGATGGGAGGCTGAGCAGGGAAATGGGCGGGGAACCGGGAGGCGGGCTTGCAGTGAGCCGAGGATCGCGCCACTGACTCAGCCTGGGCGACACGAGCGAGGACTCCGTCTCAAAAAGAAAAAAAAAAAAAAAAAAGAACAGAGTTTTGCTCACAGTTCGGAAGCCAGAAGTTCAAGTAAGGAGTCCAATCTAGCAAGAGACTCTTTCGCTGGCATCATCCATGCAGAAGAATAGGAGGCTCGCTCACACTGAGAGAGAGGGGAGTGTGGGGGTGGGGAAAAGGTTGAGCTTAGCTTTTTAATCAGGACCTGCCACAATGTCGCTAACAATAAACGCGATCCTGAGACAGCGCAGTGTGACTCCACTTTTATGAGGGGGGCGCAGAAGTCTCATGATCTTACTTACCTGTGTAAAGGTCCTACCTCTCGGAACAACTGTTTGCATCGGGGAACAAGCTACCAACACACGAGAACTTGGGGGCACACATTCACCTATAACAATTAAACAATCATTAATTGCCTTATCAGCAAGGATGCCCAAGACAGTTCAGCTGGGAGGAAAGAAAGTCTTTTCAACAGATGATACTGGAAGAGACTGGATAGACGCTTGCAGAGCATGGACACTGAACCCTAGTTCATTCCATAAGCACAAACATTAAGCCAAAGTCCATCAAATACCTAAATACTAGGAGCTAAAATAGTACAACTCTTAGAGGATCATAGGATGTAAGTCTTCAATACCTTGAAATTAGCAGAGACTTCTAGAGATGACGCTAAAGCACAAGCATCAGAAAAGAAAAAATAGGAAAACTGAACTTGCATAAAATTAAAAACTTTGTGCTTCAAAAATCTATCAGAAGAGTGAGAAACCCACAGAATGGGGAAAAGATTTGTAAATCAAATACTGGTACAGGGTCTAGGATCCGAATAGTATAAATACTCTTACAGACACACCGGTAAAAAACGCTGACCCCAATTTTTTCCTTTTTTTTTTTGGAGACATGTTGACACTTCTGGAGTGCGAGTGGGCGTGATATCGGCTCACTGCAAGCCCGCGCCTCCTGGTTCACGCCTTCCTCCTGCCTCAGCTCCTGAGTAGCTGGGGACTGACAAGGCGCCCTCTCACCATGCCAGCGTAATTTTTTTTGATATTTTTAGCTAGAGGTGGGTTTCACCTGTTAGCAGGATTGAGTCTCGA